CCCCCGTACACGCCCTGGGAAATGTAGACTGATACCGTGTGCGCTTGCACTGACGGGTGGGGGTCCAGGGGGTAGATTTATGATTCATCAAGCTGCGTTACGCAAAATATTTGCGTAAATCTTGTGTACGCAATCGCGTTGCTTAGTTGCGATTCATCAACAAGCTATTTAGTAAATTTTCGTATGATTTCGCGTACGCAAGCGAGGCCGTTTTAGGTGCGATTCATCAAGCTAAAATTTACGTAAACCTTTGCGTAACTTTACACGAGCTGCGAAGGTGCGTTAAACCACTCGAAATTTCGCGCAGGGTGTTTCCGCATCCGCAGCATGCATTATTTTTATGAGAAAACATTAAAGTTACTACTCAATAAAAATAAATAAATAATTACCTACTACATAGCAGGCGACGCCGTCATAGCTTGGCATTGTTTTCGTTATAAGCGAGTTCGTAGTTAGCCGTGTACGTGCAAGCAAGTGCGCACTTGTACGTGACCACGCACGCATTGTACGTGCAACAAGCAGACCACGTGTACGTACACACGCACGCACGCACGCACCGTGTACGTACGCAAGCACGCGACGTGTACGTGCACACGCGCCGTGTACGTGTGCACGCCGCACGCACGGCACGTGTACGTGCACACGCACACACGCACGCCACGCTCGCACGCACGCGTACGTGTCGCTGCTTTCATCGCACTTTGAACACAATCATACAAACGAAAATGAGGGCATAACTTCACAACCCCAGCACTCCTGTAGACAGCTAGAGCCATATGGTTGTTACATACAAGAGGGCGTCAGTTTGTTTTCGTATGGTATGTGGTCGCACAGTGTGATTGTTTAGTTTTGCTAGGCACGCCCTCAACAGCCAGCAGCTACGATGGCGTAGTGGATTTACACTGGAATTCATCACATTTGCGTACGCAGGTGCTACGGTGCGTTGAAAATCGCACCTACGGCTTGGCGTACGTACTTGTAGAAACTCTGTGTACGCAATACTTTTGCGCAACGTGTTGATGAATCCGGCCCAGGGGCCGCCTTAGTGCCCTGGTGGGTCCAGGGCGAAGCCTGGCAGAGTCGTGGGAAGCTCTCAGAGTTTAGGTAATCAAAGCCCTCAATTGCTGACAAAAATTGTGCAGGGAACCAGGAGCAACATATACCAAGGAGAGTAACCCCGGGGGGGGGGAGATCACCCACATTATGGTATGGTATCTGGTATGGTGCCACTGGCGAAGAGTTAAAAAAGGGGGGGGGGCTCTGGAACTAACTCAGACGTGAAATGGTGGTCTCTGGGAATAAGTGTTGTTGAATTTTGTATGCTCTGGAGGCTATCTTCGAAAATGGGGGTCTCCGAACTAGCTAGGATTTTCGTTGAAATTCAATGCTATGAAACTGGACACGTTTAAAAGATGGTCGGGGGAAGTCTTTGGCGAGGGAACATATGCTTTAATCTGGCACTTGACCACGATTCTGTGTATTATGTAGAGGCGAGAAAAACATGACCGGAGAGAGATGAACGCACGCCCACGCACAGCACCACACACACGCACGCATAACACACTAACTAAAACTAGGCAGAGGGCACTCACGGAAGAGGCATACCTCGGCAGCGACATACGCCATACGCATTACGACTCACGAAAACACGAATAACCTACGATATACGCCAGCGTACATGTATGCTCGCTCGCGCTCAGTCAGCAGCAGCCTGCTGTGCGCTGTGCTCGCTCGCTGACGCGCTATAATACAAATCGCGTCAACACACACACACCACACACCACACAACACAACCACACACACACACACGGGCGCGGCGCGCGCGCTAACGTGTACACGAACGCACGATCCGATCAATAACCTCCCTCCACTCCGTGGGCGGAGGTAAAAATAAGTAGCATGTAGAGTATATTAGAGGTCAGTCTGAACGTTGTAATTATAAATTTATAGTTGTTAACACCTCAAGTGTGCCTATTTCGCGCGGGAAACAGCATCATCGAAAATGATGGTCCCAACTTGGGACTCCCAGGAAATAACCACTTGACATCGATTATCAAATTAAGGCACAGGTTTTATATGGATTGAATTTCGCGCACTTAATTTTTTCGATTTTTCGATGAAGTGGTCCAGCTTGTAGGCTACATCATCATTTTGGGCGATCCCCTATTATTTGCAAGATCTTCTTCTTCTTTACTTTTCTTGCAAATGATGGGGGGGGTGACCCCCCACCCCAACCATCATACTAAGACATTGCAAGATGTTTCTTTTTCTTTTTCTTTTCTTCTTCTTCTTTTCCTTGCTTTTTTTTCTCTTTTTCTTTTTCTTTTCTTTTTCTTTTCTTTTTTCTTTCTTTTTCTTTTTCTTCTTCTCTTTCCTTTGTTTCTTGCAATGATAGGGGGCGACCGCCCCCCGCTGCCCCTCGTGGCGCCGCCCTGGCTGAGATTCATTTAAGTTTCTGGAGAAATGTATCTGACAATCTTTCCTCTGTCTGTCAATTGCTAGTTATGGAGCATTGCCACGCAATTAAGATGCCAATTAACAAATTATTGGACACAATTAGGGCTAATTAATCGATATAAACAACAATTACAGAACCAGATGGTAAATAATTATGGTGGCTTACTCTCATAGCATCATCATCGTTCGCGCGGCGTACTGCTCCGTGTTGAGCAGAAAGAGGAGAGAGTGAAGGAAGTATAGATCGAGGACAGTAAATGGTAAGAGCCATGATACAAGGAGTGTGCGGTTGAGTGTGCGTGCGGGTCGTAGATTGAGATAGATAGATAGATAGATGATAGATAGATTGATAGCTAGAAGAAGATAGATAGATTAGATAGATAGATAGATAGATAGCATAGTATATAGGATAAATAGAATAATAGATAGTATATAGATAGATAGATAGAATAGATTGTCATTAGATGGAGATAGGATTAAGTATAGTAATAGATAGATAGACTAAATTAGATATATGATAAGATAGATAGATAGAGAGAGAGAGAGCGAGGGAAGAGGCGAGAACGAGTAGGTATACTATTGATAGTAATAGTATAGATAGATAGATATAGTAGCTAGATAGATAGGATAGAGTAGATAGATAGATAGATAGATAGAGTAGATAGATGATTTAGATAGATAGATAGACACCCTCTCGGTTATACCTAGCCGGCAACTTGTGTTAAAAGGAGTTAAGCACGCTAGGTATAGATTTTCTATTAAAAAAGGCTATATATGATGAATATAAGATATTACTTATTTTGTGACCCGTCATCTACGTTTACGTGATTAAGGCAGCAACACAGAGATAAATCTCTATCGAGCAAGAACTTCTAAAACAAGAGAATTGCATTGTCAATAGCCACAATTTGCTTATTGTTTTCAATTTGTTTTAATTTGCGTATAGCTATTATGTGGGCTGCCCTTGTACAAGTCACGTATTCTTTCCAAATATTCTACAGGATCTGTCGGACAACTGTTGATCATAGAAGGTCACTGCGATGTAAATTAAAGAAGCTGTGCGGAAGTCGAAACCCCATACGAGAGAATACATGACAGCTGAGTGAAGCTATTGCGCTACAACCTTTTCGAAGGCAAAAAATTTTTCTTTTCTGTTTTACTTGACACGAGGGACACGTATGAACAAGATTCGATCGTAAATATGTATAGGATTGCCATTTCTCCGTTAATTTTTCGCGCAGCTTTATTTCTATTAACATTGTTATGTGCTATAAAATAAAATGTTGCTCGCGAATATATAGCACACACGTTCAATTTTCTTACTTTTATTTCTGTATATTCGTGGTGTTTTTGCTCTGTGCAGTGCGTTACTAGTAGACATATTCGAGCAGTGGGTCTTGCCTCCTTTTTGAGTTCATGAACCCCTTTGAGAATCGTGGTGAAAGCTATGGACGACCTCCAGGAAAAATTCACATCAACAGCACATAAACACAAAATTTTGATCAATGAGGGGTTCACGGTACCCTGAAGCCCATTCACGGACCCGCGGGGTCGCGGACCATAGGTTGATGAACCTGGCATTAGCGAGTACTTTATAGCATACAATAATCTGGGTTCTTGCGTGCTTCCAGATGTTTATATTGATGACATAGGCAATTTATTTGTACGCCAGATTGTTGTGTTTGTTAATAGCTTCAGGATGTACTCGGACTGTGAATGTAATCGCTTTTTTTACATTTATCCAACCAAATACGTAATTGTCTACGCTTAAGCGTTTTCTTCGGTCGCGATAGTTGGTTCGTTTCACCTTACTCGTACATTCGCTGGCTTTTGTATTATCTGAATAGTTCGAAAAGGTCGAGTGAGATTAGTGCGAATTAAGGGCGATGTGCGTTGATTGCAGTCAGGTGGGTCCTCAGGTGCGCATTCAGCACGCTTAATTAGTTCCTCAAACACCGTGGGTGACTTGGTATTTGCGCGGAATTCATTTATTATACGAAATAAACCGGGGTGACCCTTGTGAAATCGTCTATACCTTAATTACAGGAATAGCTAAACTGTGGTAACGAACGAGGGAAAATAGATGTTTAGTACAGAGGTACGGAAACACAAGAAACCTTTGGTTTGAAAAAAATACATGAAACCCGCATGCACTACATTTAGTGCCGTGTATTAGCGCACTGTTTGTGCATTTCTGGTTAACATGAATGACATTTGACACACATAAATATTGGTATGGCGCGCACGATGATCGAGCCAGCGCAGGGAGACAATCAGAGTTAATCAACGACAGTGGCGAACACCCTACCTCTGCTCTGTTCACCACGTCCTGGTAGACGTACTCTATACAGACAGAGGCACACCGACAAACAAACGACAGGAAAATAAAGTTGTCTTTGCTATATGAACGACAGTGGCGACACCTACCTCTGCTCCTGTTCACCGCGTCCTGGTAGTCGTGCTCTACAGACAGGCAACACACGACAACAAACGACAGGAAAATAATGGTTTCTTGTTATATGAACGACAGTGGCGACACTTACCTCTGCTCCTGTTCACCGCGTCCTGGTAGACGTGCTTTACCGAGTCGGCGACTCTCGTCTCCAGCACGTCAAACACGAGGTAGTCGTGCACCTCGAATCCGGCCTCCTGAAGCTCAACCTTCGTGAGTCGCGACGCCAGCTGCCACAGCGGGTCGGAGACGGTGATCAGCGCCAGGCGGCGCCACCCGTAGTGCCGCATCAGACCGATAACGAGCTGGCTCGTGTACTGGTACGGCGACACGGTGCGATAGAACGTCGGAAACGTCGTCTTGTCCGAAAACTCCGGCAGCATGCATCCCCACGAGATAATCGGCATGCCCCACTTCCCCGCCAGAAGCGCGCAACCGTAGCAGACGTCGTCGCAGCCGGGCCCGATGAACGCGTCGACGTGTCCGGCCGACCAAAGGTGCACGATGCGCTCGAGACCCGTCGCCGCGTTGCAGTCGGTGTTCTCGTACATAAAGCTCAGCGAGTGGCCGCTGCCGACGATGGCGCTGAAGTCGGACGCGTCGGACATAATCTCGTCGACGGTGACGGTAGCGGCGCCTAAGATCGTGCGGCCGACGGGCCACGAGCCGGACACGGGCGCGAGCACGCCGAGACGGAAGTTCCTACCGTCGGCGTTGACGACGAATTGCAACAGCAGCAGCAGCAGCAGCGCGAGATGGCGTATGTTCCTCGCGGCACCACGCGGCATGGTGCTGCCACTTGAAGAAGAAGCTCTCATAACAGTGGCAGCTAGCCACCGCGAAGCATCCCGGTAAGCTCGTTGTTCAGCTGCGAGTAAACTTGTTAAATTCGTTAAGCGAACGCTCGCGAACAGTAACGCCACGGGTGAGGACGACGATGATGATGACGACGTCGACGACGATGACGATGACGGCGTCGACGACGATGACGATGATGACGCCATCGACGCTGCACTCGGGAAAAGTCCTGGAGGGCGGAAGTGTTCGTTCGCAGCGTCCGTGTTATCGGTTACTACACCAGCATCCAGCATCACTTCCGGTCTTTCAAAAGAACCTTATATATATAGATAGATATTATATACATATATATATATATATATTAATATAAGCACAATATACAAACGATATTCAGGCACGATCCCGCGTGTATCGTGTATCGAGCTCACTGCGTCCGTGTCGCGCGCGCACGACATGTGGGGGCGAAGTACGCGAGCGTTGCCTCAGCGTGCAGCACACAGAGCTTCATTATGGCGAAGTGATGCGGACGTGTGGAGCACGGATGCACGTGGTCGGCTACTTCGATCGCTTCATGCAGCCGTACGACTCACTCGTTCGCGAGCGCGCCGGTCGATGTCGCCTGTCGATGTGGCCGTTGTGCTTACGTGCCTGCATCAAGCGGAAAGAGCGCGCGTCGTTATAAATACCCGCCTTGATTATAGCCACGCTAAATATAACGTAATATAATAGTTATTAATAAATACTACTAAATTAATGCATAAAATTAAATAATAATAGAGTAAGATAATGGTGTCTAATTAACGCGGTAAAGCAGCAGCGCCAATTATGGATGGGTTGCAAGATCGAGATGAAACTGTTCGACTTTGAAGTCAAAGATATACGCATAATTTTGAGTAATTACACTCCTTGATTTTCTTGGTCGTTACCCCAATTTGCTTCTACACAATGCACGGGGCCGTTGTCAGATGCATCGTAAAGTTTGATGCTAATATTAATGATATAAGTTAGCACTTACGACTCCAATGTTAATGTACGAGAGTAGCGGTTGACAGAAAACGCCATCGCGCAGCTATGAGAATCCCTATACGATAACAGGATACTTGGATAATTTGCTTCATCAGGCTGCTGATTGGGAATGAGAATCGATCACAAAACTCAAATTCATACATTTTGCAATGTACATCATAGGCAATTTATGCAATGAATTATGATGGTTGAGGCACAATATAAATAATATCTGATGAAAAAACGACACGCTCACGATATGAAAAATTAAGCCAGGCGTCATGACTGCATCAAAATATCCTAAACAAACAAACAATCGCACTTCTTTTGGTGTGATTCTGCGTTATTGTCATCTGTTTTTAAGATTGGCCTAAAGTTACAAGTTACGAGAGGGGTCTGGTATCGTGCGAATCGTTGAGGATGGGCGTTTTGCGAGTTTTTCGTTCTCGTAACCCTCGCATATATCGTCAACGTTTACGAACGCGAAATTAACTCTAAGACAAATCTAAGACTAATTTTGTTTTGCAACGCGCTCGGATTATGTAATAGCTAATGACGCTTGGTCTTTGGCCTAACATTACAAGGAGGTGTGAACACGATAATGCTCTTCATAATAAATTACTGCTGGTAGCGATAGATTACTAATGTTACTGCTGACACACAATAATTATAGTTAGCGCACAGCACTTGAAGCGTTTCAAAAATATAGATGCTAACTAAATAGCGAAATCTATTTTACTAGGCAAATTCTAATGTTTCTTATACTCTCGTTCACGCTAAATTTTGCCGACAGTTTCTGTAAATCCTACGTGGCCAAACTAATATAAGCTGCCGGCGCCATTGCTCTCGCGGCTCCACTGTTCCCACGCGCTTACACTAATATATATATATATACTACGATATATATTGCTACTATATATTACTACATATATATTAGTGTAAGCGTTGCAACCAGTGGGAGCCGCGGAGAGCAATGGCGCCGGCCAGCTTATATGTTGGACGTAGGATTTGACAGGAAACTGTCGCGCAATAATAGGTGATAAGAGAGTATAGATAACATTAAAGAATTTGGTAGCTAAATAGATTCGTATGTTAGTTAGCATTATATTTTATTGAAACGCTTCAAGTGCCTGTGAGTATAGGGACACACGCAACGATACGGGAGAGTGTGTTTATGGAGAGTTAATTATACCGTATGCGCCTGGCAATTACTCGCTGCCTGCTTTTAGATGAGTTCACAGCCTACATGCAGAAACCAATCAGAAGTCAATAACAAGAGATCTTATTACGACGATAATTATATATATATATATAATATATATATATATATAAGAGAGAGAGAGAGAGAGAGAGAGAGAGACAGAGAGAGAAGGAGAGAGAGAGTAGAGGAGAGAAAGCGAGAGATCGAGCGAGAAGAGAGAGAGAGAAAAGAAAGAAAAGAAAGAGAGAAAGAAACAGAAAGAAATGAGAGAGAGAAGGAGAAAGACAAATGAGAGAAAGAAAGAAAGAAAGAGAGAGAGAGAGAGAGAGAGAGAGGAGAGAGAGAGAAAGAAAGATGAGAAAAGAAAGAAAGAAAGCAGAGAGAGAGAGGGGAGAGAGAGAGAGAATGAGAGAGAGAGATGAGAAGCATACTATGGCTGTCCGGCCATCCCCACCTCTAGCTGCCTCTTGCCTTGTTACGCATGACCTAGTAATTCGTCGTGCCATTATTCGTAAAGCCGACGATTATCCGCAATTAGCTGGGATGTGTGCTCGCTGCAGGAGAAGCCGATGTATACTCGCAGGAAATAATTACAGAACTCTCGACGGCGTCTAACGGTGCATTTCTACATGCGACCACAGCATGCAGAAGGCCGACCTGCAGTTGCGTGAGTGATTTAAGAGATGTGGACAAAGGCCAACTCGTTATATCAGGAGTTAATAGTATTATTCACTCCTGATTATATGCTTTCTTATTATCATGTAGGATCGTCGACGTTGTAGCTGGCGTGATGTCGCTCATTTACGGCTTATCGAAGCAAATTCGCATAGTAGTTTTACCAACTAGTTCGGTTGTCGAGCATGCTAAATTCGTTAGATTTCGTCGATTCGTTGATGTGTTAGATTTCTGTCGACTTGCACATAGCGCCCTATCGCTTGTCTCGAACATATAATAGATGCGCTTTCCTTCCCTGCCGCGCGAAAGATCCGAACTACGTCGACTGGGCGTCGGGTGAAGAAATCGCTGAGCGCAAATCATCCTAGTTTTATATAGTTCACCTTTATGTGGCTGCTGCGTTTTACTCTTTTACGGGCATTCCCGTGCGCTGCTCTGGCGGAAATTACTGAATCTGATAGCAAAAGAAACGTATTGCCTAGCGGCTGAACCGAAGAACGCAGGCGAGGTACATTTCACCCGATGAGCTGTTATAGTCGGCATGGGATTATCCATGGAGTTTCCTTTTATAAAAACGCAGCAAACACACAAACGCGAAACTCAGCAACTTTAATATTAATTATATATAATATATATATATAGGCAGGCGCCCACATGGTACACCCCACGCACGCGAAAGGCACGTCGCGCATGCACACACGCCAATACAAAAGATGGGACGCACATACACGCGCGCGCGCCCCTCCCCCACATACGCGTCACTCACGCACACTCAGCACACACAACACACATACACACACTCACGCCGGGCGTGTGCACTCTTCCTGCCACGTAATGCAAGACTCACGACTCTCTGCGCGGTCTGCTCTATCTCTCCGTGTTGCATCACTCTTCAAACATCCCAGACGAGACGAACGACCTCCATAAGTTGTATGTTCAATAAACGCACGGAGCTTCAATCGTAGGTACGGACCCGCGTCCGACGGAATCCAGGCGCCCTGCTTACACGTGCCACCGGCCGTCACAGTCCGTCGCCGACAATGTCTTTTCAGTCGGCTAGCCGGCGCGGTGTGTGTTGTGTGTGTGTGTGTGTGTGTGTGTGTTGTGTGTGCGCGCTGCGTGTGTGTGTGTGTGGTGTGTGTGTGTGTGTGAGCGTGACGTGTGGCGACGTGTGTGTGTGTCGTGTGTGAGCGCGAGTGGCGCGCGGCGCGTGGCGTCTGTGATTTAGATGAGCTCCCCCAAGGAGGTCAGGAAGCTAATCAATCAGCATGCGACTTCCTCGCCGGAGACGCACGCAGGAAACGTGCTCGCGCGCGCCTCTACGAGTCGCCCCGTTCTCCTTTTCCTTCTTCTTTTCCTGCTGTTACTCCTCCTCCTCAGCTTCTCCTCCTTTATCCTTCTCCTTCTCCTGCTGATGCTCCTCCCCCTCTTCTTCTCTTCTTTTATCCTTCTCCTCCTGCTACTCCTCATTTTCTTCTTCTCCTCCTGCTACCCCTCCCCCTCTACCTTGTGCTCCTGCTACTCTCCCCCTCTACCTTGTGCTCCTGCTACCCCCCTCTACCCTCTGCTTCTGCTACTCCTCCCCCTCCTACCCCCTTCTGCTTCTGCTACTCCTCCCCCTCTACCTTCTGCTCCTGCTACTCCTTCCCCTTTTCTTCTCCTTCTTCCCCTCTTCCCTTTTTGCTTTTCTTCTTTTCCTACTCCCCTGCTTCGTTCTGCTCCTGCTACCCCATTTCCTTTTATTTCTCCCCTGTGCTACTCCTTCCCTCTTCCTTTTTTCTCCTGCTACTCCTCCCCTTCTTCCTTCTGCTTCTGCTACCCCCCGGCCTTTTCTTCTCCTTCTTCGTTTCCCTTTTTCTTATTTTCCTACTTCCTCTCTTCCTTCTCCCTCTGCTACTCCTCCCCTCTTCTCCTCCTCCTGCTACTCACCCTCTTCCTTCTCCTCCTGCTACTTCTCTCTCTCCATCCCTCTCTTTTTTTTTTTTTTTTTTTTTTTTTTATTTTTTTTTCTGCTCTTGACACTCCCCCTCTTCTTCTCCTCCTGCTTCTCCTCCCCTCGTCTTCTCCTCCTGCTACTTCTCCCCTTTTCCTTCTGCTTCTGCTACTCCT